CTTTTCCTCTTCCCTCTTTTCCCCCCCCCCCCCCCCCCCCCCCCCCCAACAATTTACGCGATCCCAACTTGGGAAAGTGTATCACGTATACCATTTACCTTTATCCAGGGCGATAGCCAACCCCCCATATATACCTGAGTGCTCCGTGATGAAAGCAGCGTTGCGTGTGGGGTTTCGATGTTCATTTTTTTATTTTTTGAAGGGGGGCTACTTCCGGGTGCATGAAATGTACCGTATGTCATGTACATTTTTTCATTTCTGATGACGATGTTTTTTTTTTTTTTTGTTGCCACCCGTCTTTTTTTTTGTCGTGCTCCCCCCCCCCCCGTTTCATGTGATTTTCTCGTGGCTGCTGACTCTTCCCCTCTCGGGATGGCTCACTGTTTCCTTCGGGGTTGCTCTTCTTCTTCCTTCTTCTTCTTCTTCTTCTTCTGTTGTTCCCTCTTGGATTTTTTTTTCGGAATATCTGAACAAACACAAAAAAAATAAACACAAAATCGAAAAAAACAGACGAGCGGTGGGGTGTCGGGTTGGTTGGGACGTTTCATGCCGCAGAGGTTGAAGTCGAAGTCGGGTGGTGTGGGAAGCGATTCCGGCGATTCCGGCGCCATCACCCCCAACGAAGATCGCGGCCGGCCGGGAAACCATATCGTGTAAGCAGCAATTGAACCACGATTCCGTGGCATTTTTGTTCCCCTTTTTTTTTTTTTTTGGCGTGCGGCACTTTCTGTGTGGCACGCACGGAAGTAGCCACGGAGGTGGGGCAAGCGCTAAAGTTCGGTGGTGGCTCGGCAGCGAGCGGGCACACGAGGCTCTGCGCTCGGGTCGCTGACAATGATTTTGCGCTTGACCCTGTCCGGTTTCTCGTTTACTTCGATTGTTAGGCAGATACAAATAGTTCTGTCCGGTTAGGTGGTAGATGTCTATCGCGAGACGCTTTCCTCCTCCGCTTTGTTTTGTCTCTTGTCCTTTCTCGTGGGAGACTCGATGCTGACGATGAGTGATTTCGATTGCTTAGAGCACTGCCACCTACCTCGGGGGGGTAAATCTCTAGCAGTCTTGTCTCCGTTCGCGAGAGGGAACCCCGCCGGGACCCCAGCCAACGGTTGCGTAACTGCCGCTCCTGGTGGAAGAGACTTGTCTCGATTGGGTGGGCACCCCCGGTTTTTGAGCTTGTTCGTGTTTACTTTTACTTGCTTGGAGCGTTTTCTTCCGAGCACTTGAGTTGAAAGCTTTCCCACGGGAAGTCGTATGTCGGGTCGTTATTGTAGTTTTTGTCGTTTTATCGTACACGCGTGGTGTGTCATACCCAGCCCCGAGCTTGTCTCTGTTGTTTTTTTTTTGGGCGGTCTGCGGAGCGGCACACGAGGCATTGAAGAGTGCTGCGGCGGCGGAGTGGGTCGAGGAAGAAGAATGTATGTCATGATCGTAGGAGGAAGGCGAGGGCAACGAACGGTGTCATCGTGTTATGTGGGTATTAATTGTCTTATATTGTGCTACCACGTGCTTGCGTGCGTATGTGTGCGGGCCCCCCGCACAAGAAGGTGGGGCGGTTGAGACAAACCAGCGGGGGTAGCACCGTCCTCAGTGTGTTGCTTTTTTCGCCGCCAGCGGTCAGTGGTCTGTGTCGTTTGTTTTGCACTAGGCGCGGGAGCTGGAAGAAACGCTGCCTGCTCGCCGCTGCCTCGGATATGGTCGTAGGTCCGGGTGTTGGATCCATCTTTCGTGTACGATGGCTTGAAGCCCTTGGGCTCAGCAAAAAGTGAATAGTTTTATCATGGTTGCTTTCTTTTTGTAAAGGTTGCTTTCGGGAATGGATGTTTCTGGATGGTGCGTTGTTGGTGCAGCAGCAGCTGTCTCCGAGCATGAGACATCCGCTGATGATCTTGCAGCTGGGCGGGTACGATGCACGTCGTGACGCAAAATTGGGCTGTGATGGCGGGTGGGTTTTTGCACTTTCATTTGTCTATCGCGCGCCTCGGGCTTGCTCCCACCTCGATTGAGTTTTGCTCGCCTCGCGTCTCTCGCGACGGGAAATCAGTAGTAGTGAGTACCATCCCGCCAAGGGTGGCGTGTCATCCGCACATCCATCTCAAGACTGGTTCCGGCGAGTGTTCGAAGATTCTTCTGTGTTTTGTTGTCTTCGTTCTACGTCGTCATCTGAGGGTGTTTAGAGACTTATACCGTGTGTAGTTTATGTATGTTGTCGAGTATCGCCAGCAGCAGCAGCATTTCGAGAGAGAGAGAGGAGGCACGTTCGACACACAACCCCCACCTCTGGGCGGGAGGCGAAGTTGTTCCTCACGTTGTGTGCGCGTGTTGAAACCTCCGTGCGTCGAGCGCATGGGTAGGCGAGTAATGGGTTACCCATGGGCGAGAGGCGCTGTTGGGCAGGTGGCGTGATGGTTTGGGTTCTAGTATTTTGGGAAGGACGAAGAAGAGTAGCAGCTACATCTCCCATCCTGTATATGGTTTTGGTTGTTTTCGTGAGTTGAGTGTAGCTGTTCGAGTAGTAGCAATCTTTGAATTGAATTGAAATGTTGATTTTCACTACATATTTCCTGCTGAGCTGTTGTGTCTGCTGCGAGGGACACAGCAGTTTCCATCTTCCTCTTTCGGAGAGTGACGGATGACGCGGCTGACCCCCAAACACCTTGTTGTACAGATGTTTGTTACCAAGAACTGGACTCATCCTCCTGCCATCGATCGAAGCAACCTCGCTGTCGGTTGTGGTTGTCCTGTCGCCGGCGAAAGGAATGCCACACTCGCTCCAAGCTTTTGCCGAACAAGAGGCAACGGAAGGTAAAATTACCCCCCACATTTACTTCGGCACGTACAATATATCGTGGCACACATGACTATGGGCATACCGCAATTTTCATTAAATGACCCATCCATGTGGTTCGACGGCATGATGAAGCAAAAAAAAAAAAATAGCGCTTGGCATACGCACTGCGGTCATCTTGATTTATTTGCGTGGTTGTCTCGGGCGAACGGAAAAAAAAATGCTTTCAGAAGGTGGACATTGTATGCACAAGTCTCCTGAAACAACACCCTCTTTGAACGTCAGGCAGGCCTGGTCGCGACGAACGAACACAAGCTTCACCTGCGACGATCAACTCCGCGATGATGACGCTGGTTGCGTATTTGTGGTATCGGCCAATACATGAAAGTTTTAAAAATAAACTAATACCATATCGTACAACTTCATATGGATAGTTGTACAATGTACTACTGCTGTACGATAGACTACATGATCTAACAGAGAGACTCTACCCGTTCGAGATAAAACCACCGCCGAAAGGGATGTGCTGGTGTCAGTGAGTGGAGGAAACCGGCTGGAAATTGGGCTTGTTTCACCGAGTCGAGAACTCGAACAGGCCCAACAAGCCAACAAGCCGACAAATGAAAAAAAAAAAACGATGGCACGAACAGGAACGAGAACGGTTCGTTCGTGAAACATGAAACCGTAAGAAATCACAGTCTTGCCGACTTCTTTTTTTCAGTGAACAAAGGATCATTTCATGTACGCCAGCGCGCGGCAGCACACATTGGCGAAAAAAGAGACTCCAACCTGAGCTCACGGACCCAGAACTCCAACCATGGACAGCCGGCTGGCTCCTCTCGGTTGATCACGAAGATAGACGGACGAGGGCCACAACGCATTCATTCCTTTACTACAAACATTATGCCGTCGACGCACTTCGACGTTACCCCCGTCAAGGTTGCCACTGAGTTTCGGAGAGGGCTATCGTCGAGGAAGGCGGAAGTTCTCTACGGCGGAGGCGGTCCAGCGACAGCTAACACAAACAGCGGCCCGGACAACCACGACGCAGTAAAAAGCCTGAAGACGGCATTGGCAGTTCAGAAATTTGCGACAACGTGAGTGGCTATCAGCTGTAGGTGATGTGCTGCCGCCGCCGTCGTTCGTGATTTCCATGGCAAACAAAATGCCACCATCGAGTGCCATCGGGTGCCATCGAGTGCACGTGTTGTGCCCATGGGCACAACACGTTCCTTGTTTGTTTTTGTAGTGATACATCTTCACCATGAAAGTGTTATAGCGTCTATCCCGTACCTTCGCTTTACATATAGTCTATCCTTGAAGTATACGAGTATATTCGCCTTCACTGTCGACGAGGGAAAGGGGCGGCTCAACCCTTGTCGCCGTAGACCCTACAATAGACTACAAACCTGCAAGCACAGCGAGAGGAGGGAAATTAGTATTGAAACAATAGACAAACAGAATGGCGCCTCAGGGAGATACCCTCCTTCTGTGGAACCCCGGCTGTTGCATACAATGGTACGGCACCCAAAATCACCGAACGGCATGATGTACGTATGTGTACGCTGACGCCAGAATAGATGGACAAACACACACAAGGTTCCTCTCTGGATGGCGACGAGACAACGCACTACTGTATACATGCATATATATGTAGTTTCGTCATCAATAACGTGTCACTACATAACCCTCCTCTTTACCACCCGGTGAAATTGTTAAGCACGCGGACGGTGGTCGGCGCCATCACGAATACACGACGGATGCAAACTTTCGATTTCCCCCCTTTCGTCTTGCTCCTTTGTTGCCTGAGAAACTCACAGCCAAAGGCACCTCTCTTTACATCGTATTGTTCATCTCTAGTCCAGAACCTGAAATCTTGGGTGTACTACTGCAGGGCCTCCTACACCTACCTGATGTACGTCGCATTTTCGGTATTGCACGGCCGTGTCGGGAAAACGCACAAGACAGATCGAACGCAGGCGAAACATCCCCGACCTACTGTAGGTAGTGAGTGTCCGGCAACCGTCAACACAATATTCTCACTCACGGCAACAAGCGAGCAAAGCACCCGCAGAAAACCACAAAGGATGACGTACCGTAGTAAGTACTCAAGGGGGTAAGAATCGACGACATCTGTTTGCTGGCATATGTGCGGCGTAAAGCCGGCACACGCACAACATGGTTACATGACGCAGTGTAATTTTTCTTCGTATGGCGAAGGTTGGCCTCGGCGATGGGTCCTCTGCAACACACGGTTTCGCCACTCCCGCGTTTTGGGATGTGTCCACAAGAGCATAAAACGAGCATGACAATCCATAAGATGATGACAGAAACTTTCTGGTACGCGCGGTTGCGCCGGACTTTCTTTGGCTTGCCGGCCTGCCTCCCCACCCCCCCGCTGAATTATTCGCATGATGGTGCGTCTCTTTTCTTCGTGGTTTGTCTACAGATGGCACCACAAGGTCACCCCGTCGAGGCGGCTCAAGAAACATGCTCAGCGAGGCTTGCTGGTCGAGGTAAGCGGGGAGAGATTCGCACAGATAGATACAAAGGCACCCACATCTCCAAAAACGCCACGTGGTTGCACTCAGTCCATCCTGTCGTCACCGGAGGTCAACGCACCATACTCGTCCAACCGAGGTCAGGCTGTTGAGTTGCAGTTGCTACAACAAGTTGCCCAATAAGGTGAAGCTGCAGTCTAGTCGCCGAGCGGAGTAGTATTGAACGAGGTGAACAAGGGCATCCATCAGAGGCGGGAAGCACTGGAAAAAGGACACTAGCGTCGCTCAATGTACTTTGAAAAACCTCGCATGCCGCCTTTTCCAGCACGAGCTCGAGTTAACTTGGAAATCCGGCATAACCTCATCCCACCAAAGCAAAACAATTGTTACCGTACGGTGTTCGCACTCTGAATGGCACATTGCTTTGCCCGTCGAGTTTCCGTCAATATTGAGGTTTTCCCGGGATAACCGTGATCCCGTCATTGTCAACGGTGCAAATGTGTACGCGGTGATATCCTCAGATAGATTCACCAGCCTCGAAGTCTGCACACACACACGCCTAACTCAATCTGAGGTAACATCCAGCGTGCCGGTCGCCTACCATGCTGGCCTTGACGCCGGGTCTTCGACCAAGGCTCTTGAGACACTTCAAGCAATCTTTCAACGAGTCGTCAGCTGGAGACCGAACGGCTGCCTCCCATGAGCTCCGAGCTCTAGCTGTGTTTTTTTCTTTTTACTCTTCTCCCCCGAGACAAACGCATGACACTGTGGACGGATGCCGCCCGTCGTACTCCTCCTTCCAAATGCCCTCAGAGACCGATAGGGGAAACCCTCACAAAGGCCGTAGGACTCGTGGATGCCTCTGTGGCGCACCAGCGGCGCATCAAGAACCTCTTCAGCGAGCTTGAGTCCAGGGAGAGAACGCTCGAGCAGATGGACAATAATGGGGAGGAGGAGGTCCCCGCCGTGGTCCAGGTAAAAAGTTTGAATTTCTTGCCGTTGTTCTCCTCTCTGTTGCTCACGCTGTAGAGGTCGTCGTCGTTGTTCTGGCTGTTGTTGTTGTTGCGGCTGTTCTGGCTGTTGTCGTGGTTGTTGTTTCTGCCGTTACTGCTGATGCAGTTATTGACGTCGTTTCAGATGGTTCTGACCCTCGATGCATACGTGAGAGGGGTGGAAAAGGAAGGGAGGCCGACGCACGATAAAACGGTTGCGGACAACTGGACGATTGCTTGGTGAGCACTTTTTAACTCCACGCCGATTCGTGACGACCTTGCGCACACAGATGGCTTGGCACGAGTCCAGAACCCAGGAAATCCGGGTTTCCAAGAAGATGAACGAACTGAGGTATGTAAGGTCGAATTTGGCTGATTCCATGGTGATTGGGATTCACATCACCCATAAGAAGGAAGAGCGCGGCATACATGTTGGAGAAGGTGGCGACAGTAGTTTCGTTGATTTCATGTGTAGTCGGTCGCAGGCACCAAACAGGTGTCATAGTAGAAGAAGGGCGCCTTGGCCCTGGAAATAACCATCCTTTTCTGTACGCTTCCGAAGTACATCATTGTCAAAGGTAAGAACGTAATCCGTACACCCTAGGACCTGTTTGTTTGGTGTTTGCGTAAGGTAAGTTTTGTGGCAGCAGAGAATGCTAAGATGTTGTTGTAACTAAGCGGATTCAGCCGGTAGTGCACTCCATCCAGGTACAATATTGTTGTGCTGAAGAGCAACTGCTGTGCTTGATCACGTGTTCGAGCGTACGTAGAATTCCAGGTCGAACCCCCCCAAAAATTCAGGAGTCAGACTCAAGCGGAAGTACCGCATTGTTGTGGGAATCACTCCCCTTGCGATGGGCTTCATCTTACAAGGTGGGTCTGTTGTGTTCCTTCCCGCCGAATGTTGTCCTTATTTTGACCCTCCTCCTTCCGCTATCTGCGTCCCGCCGTTTCGAAAGGGACGACGCCGATTGCGACAACGCGATCGCACCCGTTCGGGCGACCCAGCAGCTGGAGGCCTACCTGCTGTCTGGCGTGGCCGTCCTCAAGAGCTACATGACGACGGGGGCGCGCATCACGGCCACGGAGATTCTCTCCCTCATGTCTCAGGTGAGTGAACGTTTCTTTCCGGAGAACCGATACATATCGCACAATTGTCTACTTCTTCCTCTGTCCAATAGAAATGTCTCCACGACATATTCGATCACAACCAACCCCACGAGAATGACCAGGGGAAACCTGTCCGCCGGAGACAACCCCGGTGAAACGAACCAGACGTATGGCCAACACTCGTCGATCATCCCTGTGTTTCTGATTAAGTCTGTAGGTCGGGGAGTAGACAACGATCCGCACTGGACAAGGCCCACACACGCGAGGCAACCCTCTAGCATTGGCGTCGTTGGAGACAACGCAACCCTGATTCTCGGCCGCGTGCGTGAAACCATGATACCACCAACGCCACCTCCAACAAACAAGAGCACAATCTAAAAACAAATCAGGTGACGTTCGCCGCTCACACCGCCGAGGCGCTGTCCCGCTGGGCCGGTGAGGCCATGGAGACGCTTGGGAGGGAGAGGGACAGAGCCCACGCCCTGCACAGGGAGAACGCGCAGGTCTCGAGGGAGGCTACCCTGGCGCAGAAGGAGATCATGAGCCTGGAGGCCAAGATATTCCACACCAGAAAAGAGGTTCGCTGGTCTCGCTTTCGGGAGACAAAATTCTAGAGATATCCCACACCAGAGAACAATTTCGTTGGTCTGGTTTTCTCAAGATCGACCTAGACGCATGTTGTGCGTAGCTTCTGTCTTGGACGAAGCGCCAGACGTTAACTTTCGCGGCCATGGTGCAGGAGAAGAAGATAAGCCTGGAGAGGAAGAGTTTTTCATGGCAGAAAGGCGTTTGCTTGTTTCGGTCGGATTATTGGTTTCTCAAGATACGAGTATGTGTCGTTCCTTACGAGCATTCGTCGCTCCTCCTTCTTGCAACCATCATGAGTCTTTAACCCGTCACAGGGCCTCATATCCCCTAATCTCGGAATTGATATCCATGACATGCTAAGAAACACTGCAGTGTATGTGTCGGCACTCGCTCATACTACCGTGGTGCACGGCGTATTGGAGGGATGGAAGATCAACATGCTGGCAACAAGCCCATAGAGCAGAAACACATTCGCGTCGACAAGGATTCTATTTTCCCCCTGAATCGACCAACGCAGGTGGTGATTTCAGCTACGATGTAGACAAGGATTTTGTAACCATCTTTGAAACACGACATGAACTCATGTGTAAGATAGTTATTGTTGTCCCGGCGGCGCAGGCGAGGTGGTTTGCGTGTTCAGCAAACAAGCGTTACCTACCCGTGGCTTGATAACACAACCACTTGCCAGGGGCCAATCCCACGCTAAAAGAAAGTGCAGTCTTGGTCGCCAATGCGGGATTCCGAAAACCTGATTTTCGTTGCGGTTGGGTTCAACACCTTAACTCTTTGCTCTGACGGATAAGTTGCACAGTCAGTGGCCGCTTTTCGGAGGCAGACGTGCCACACTACCTATTGGAGGCGTGTAAACTGGGTGAAGAAAATCACGTTCTTCTCCTCACAAAAATAGATTCTTGTCAACGCTCAAAGGGGAAAAACGAGCAGCCGAGGAGCACACCCGCACCCACCCTCCAACAACTCCGCCCACCCCTTACTCCCCCCGCCCTTGCGGGCGTCTCGCTCGCTTGTAGCTGGAATCAGCAAAGGCGTACGCGGCGAGGATCAAGGCCGAGTCGGGCGACATGCGTGTCGTATTTGGCGCGATCGATGATTCCGTCACCGCCGCCGGTCTTGAGCTCATGACCCACGACGCCAGCGGAGAACCTCTCAGCGCTACCCAGGTGCGCTGGCTGCCCCTTGACGAATGCTGCACACGTCCACCGCTACTACTGTCACGGATGCCTCTGGCTCGTTGTTGTCGCCTCCGTGCATGCGGCTGTATGTAGCGAGGCACGGGCTACTTGGTGCTCCGGGAACCACCGCCCGTGGCTTGTTCGGTGGGTCAGTCGGCATTTGCTCGTCGTCGTGGCACTGAAGGCTGCCGAGAAAGGAGACGATTGCGCTGAGGGGTGACCTAATCCGGGTCAAACGCGCGCCACCGGGACACGGGGGGTGTTGCAGATATGAGCATCGGGAATCGGGACGATGTACATACTCCCACAGTCTCAAATAACCGTGTTCTCAATGGTTTTCAAAAGAGCAATAATAGGCATTAGAAGCAAACCAGAGATCCCCTTCATGACTTCCACTTGTTCCTGATACACGCACCGTTGCATCCGCTTGAGAGAAAACTAGTCATCCCCGCCTACATAGCCCAAGACTGCGAGCAAATTCTCGCCCGTACGTACGTGTAGAAGCATGCCTCCAGGAAAACGGCGAAGAAAGTGTTTGCCGACCCCTATCCCCTGCCCCGACCGACCGCAGGCGGCGTTCGGCATGATCAAGAAGCTGCGGGAGACCTGCATCAGCCAGCAAGATCACATCGGAAGGTGGGAGAAGGGGAAAGAGAGGGGGAACGAGGGGGGATCGCTGTTAGGGTTGCGCTGGGGTAAGCAATACGGCTCGTGGTAGTGGAGAGGCTAGAAGGGAAGGAGGGGTCAGGCACTACGTCTACGAATTGCAGATTGGCGGCCTCCCGCCGCAGCCAAAGAAATACTTATTCAAATTCTAACCGACCCCCGAACGCGAACACGAATGCGTAGGCTCGAGTTCTTCGTGGAGAGGGGGAAGCTCGACCTCGAGCAGGCAGAGATGACGATCAAGGACATGGGGCGAGCCAGCAGTTCGAAGCGCGCTCGCAAGAGGGCGGCCGCCACCGCCGCCGCCAAGAGCAAGAGCAAGAGGGGCGCCTACGGCTTCAGCGCGAGCAGCGCCGGGGGAGGCAGCAGCGGCGGCAGTGGCGGCGGCAGGGCCGGAGGGCGGCCGCCGTCCCCGACGCACGGCAACAAGGCCTCGGCGGCGTCGATCGCCGTTTCCACCGCCGTGTCCATGGCTTCCTCGCATTCAGCAGCGAGAGCCCTGAACGGCGATAGGTACAGCGGCACCCGGGCCGGCAGCCCCTCGTCCTCGTCGTGCAACACTCCCACAAACGACGATGACGCCGCAACCGTCACGTCCACCGACGCCGGGCAGAGCATCACCACCACCAGCACCGCCGCCACCGCCGCCGATTCTTCTCGGGCAGGGATGCACGCATCTCTGAGGACAGCGAGGGCCGGGGCGGGAGCGGATCGAGACGGCACGGCCATCTCCGTTTCGGCATCCACCGCCGTAGATTCCTACAGCAACAACAACGCCACTGACCGCGTCGGAGGGAGAGGAGGGAGAGGAGGGCGGCGGGCGACGAACACCGAAACCGCCGTCGGCGGGAGCGGCGGCAGTGTTCCCAACTTGGGGAGGCGACACAGGACGCAAGCAGCCGTAGCGGCGGGTGAGGGAGCGGGCGGAGAGAGCGGCAGCGGGGGCGGCGGCGGCGGTGCAACGTCGGGAGGTGAGCGGCACCGCGGCAGCGTGTCGCCGTCATCGGCAGCGAAAGGCCCCCGCGGGCACTCACGGGGCGGCAGCGTCTCGAGGCGCACGGCCGGCGAAAGCGGCGACGCCAGACAACAATCGCCGCCGCCGCTGAGAGAAGAGGAGAGCGGCACTGGAGAAGGCGAAGAGAATGAGAAGCAGCAATCGGAGCCGCCAGCACGGGACGACGCGGGGGTTACGAAGATACCGGAGGAGGCAAAGGCGTTGGCAGAAGAGGAAGAGGAGGAGGTGGAAGAGCGAGGCGAGACACAACGGACGAGCGGGATCCAGCAACCGGCGGGCGAGGAGTCGCCAGGAAAAGAACATGCGTCAGCGGCGGCGACGAAGGAGGCAGGAGCTTCCTCGCCAGCCTTCGTTTCGGCACGGGAAGATCGCACGACGAAACAGCAGCAGCAGCAGCAGCAGCCGCAGCAGCAGCAGCAGCAGATGGTGGAGTCGTCTCCCGGTGGGCAAGACGCCGCCAGCACTGCAGAGGAGAAGGATAGCGGCGGGAAAGGTGAGGAGGGAGAGGCTGAGGCACCAAGGGAAGGGAAAGGGTGTGACCCCGCTGGGGGCGTTGACGGGGCGTCGCCGCCGTCAATGACGGCGGCAATGTCACTCGAGGCGTTGGGAGAGGGGGAGCAGGAGCAGGAAGACCAAGGAGAAGAACACGACGGCAGTTCCTCGCCCCCGTCTGACGCTGAGTCTCTCGGAGAAGGCGCTGCCGGCATGGTTGCCCCGACCGTAGAGAGGGCCAACCGACGCGCGTTGGAGGCCATGAGGGGGCTCGAACACGCGATGAAGAACAGGCTCGGCGCCCTGTCCGGCCTGGACCCTGCCGCCAGAAAGCACCTGTCGACGGCCCTCCGGGACCAGGCAAGAAACGGCTTCCGTGGTAGTGGTAGTGAGTGCGTGAGCGCACCCAGCTCATGACAGCTACGTGAGCGCACCCAGTTGATGACTGCAATAAATAATCAAATCATTGGGCCCAATACCGACATAGAAGCATGTTTCTTCACTCCGCCCGCTGCTCACAGGTGTTGTCGTTGAAGGATACCATCTGCAGGGATATGCGGGAGGTCGCGGAGGAGGCGTCGGCCACCGCCGAGACGGAGAGCATGAGGATGATAACCGAGCTCGCGAAGCGAGACGCAAGAATCACGCAGCTGGGGTCGCGCATTGAAGACTTGCAGGTGCAAGGTGTACCCGTTTGCGGTGGCTAAGTAAGGTTTGCCTACTGTGAGATTAACACTCAAACCCTCACTTCAACAAAAGGGCAATGGAGCGCATCGGATTGACCGGGGAGTTTTCTGGGAATTTGCAAGCAACGGCATGTTTTCTCAGACGCGCTCAACTCGACCAAGCATAACTCTCTCAACAGTGTAAGGCGTGCTTATCGCTAAAAGGCACTGTACTACTGTACTGTTGTTTGCACTGTTCTCGACGGCACCAAATTCCTGCCCGATGACGTTCATGAACTTGAGCACGTTTCAGGCTGCGTAAGATGCATGCTTTAGAAAAACGGACGGGTCCCACCTCCAGAGGTGACAGGAGTGGGCGGGAAGCCTACCCGATAACCTCTGTTGCTTCCCCTTTTGTCTCCCACCTCCCTCTCGAGCATCATCTCCGATTCCAAACACTGGTATTAGTTTGCGGGGTACCTACCCACTGGACAGAAGATCGTATCTGCGCATGATGTCTTCTGACAAAATACCAGCAGCGGCTTGTGAACATCAACGATGCTGCCGTTAGAATGTCCGCGCAAGATGTCGTTCAACTAACAAACAACCCGGCTGGCGAACATCAACGATGCTTGTTAGAGAATGTCTGTGCATGCTGTCGTTCGACTAACCAACAGACCCGGCTGGTGAACATCAACGATGCTCACGAGGCCGGGCGTCTCAGCGAAAAAGCAGCCGCTGAAGCGAGGAGCGCGAGGCCAGAACACCGAGAAGAAAGCGAGAGAAGCCCTACTGTCCACCAACTGCCCCTAAACGCGCAGCAACAACAACAAGAGCAGCAGCAGCAGCAGCAGCAGCAGCAGCAGCATTTCTTCGACCCGGAACTAGAACGAGAACCTCATGGTATTGCCGATGACGCAACGACTGAATGGGACGAGGAACAGGAACACCATCACTACCAGCATGGCGATGACAGGGAGGGATCGGCAAGGCGACAAGGGTGGGAGGGAAGAGATCGTCCCGAGCGTGATGAGGTCCATAACCACCAACACAGTGGCGTAACCTCCCGCGACGAGCACCAGTACCACCAGCAGGCCGCAGGTAGCGCCGCCACCAGGCGCAGAGACGGCGGGCCGGAGGGGGGCATTCCCACCGCTCAATATGGCGTCGGCAACGTCGGTGGCGTCGTTAGCGGCGTCCTATCGCCGCCGCCAACGAGAACGCCGGTAGACGGGGGCGGCGGAAAAGACGCCCACTGGGAAGGGTCCACGGGCATCGGCCTCTTGCGAAGGGAGAAGAGCGCGGGCACATTCTTGGCACAGCAGCAGCAGCAGCAGCAACAACAACAACAACAGCAACTACATTCCGTGTTCACTCCAGAACGGGGCGGCGGCGGCGGCAGAGGGGATGCGGGGAAGCGCCATTCCTGCAAAGACGGCGGCCCAGATTCCCCTAGGCGGAAAAGCGGCAGGGGCCTTTTCCGCTCCCCTTCTGGAAGGGTGACCGAAGGCGGGGGGGGTCACTTTGGCGAAGACAGTAGTAGCAACAATTTCCCTGGCTTAGACGGCCGTGTCGAGGAGGACCAGCAGACGGTGTCGGTGTTAACGGCGGATACGTCATTTACGCAGAATTCGAACACCGGGATGACAGCTCCGCCGCTCGGTCAGCAGCAGCGGGACCCGCGGGAAGGAGGAAGAGGAGGAGAGATGGGACAAACCCAGGGTCACCGCAGAGACGTTGACGGCCGCAATAGTCCGCAACGACAGGAGAACGAACAAACGGGCGGATGCGGTGCGAAAGGCGGTGATTGGGTGGTTTCGGGGCGCGAGGGAGGGCGTCACGCTTCGCCCCCGGCTTCTGGCGGTAACGCCGGCGAGCAGCGCCAGCGGTATCAGCAGGAGGAAGGGCAGCAGCAGCATCGGCAACATGGTGGTGCTGGCGGGTCTCCCGACAACCTCCGGGAATATGGCGGCGGCGGCGGCGGCGGGACTCCGGCACCAGCAGCGTCGGTAAAGGATGTGCAAGGCCGTGCCAGGATTCAGCACATGCCCAAGACCGTGGGCGACGTTGTCCTTGCCGTTGCCGGCGGCGGCGTCGACGAGAGCCCGGACATGGCCGTGACAGGCGCCGTCGCGGGGAATCCCGCCGTCGCCGAGCGAGGCGCTTCCGGGAAGGAGGCCAGGCACAGCGGTGACAAGAAGGGAGCTGACGGGGTGCGAAGAGAGTCAGAAGGAGCGGAGGGTGGGGGGACAGGCGAAGCCGGTGCTGGAGATGAGACGGACGGGGAGGAGGACAGAAAGCGTAAGAGGCAACAGAGGGCGCTGCAGGCGTTCCTCAAGGGGGTGAGTGGACGCGTGAGTCTTTGGCAAGTGTGATAGGTATTCCCTGGCCGGTGCTTTGTGAAAAACGTACCCCACAGGCTATGCGAAGAGAGTTCTGAGGGCCGCAAACATGGGTCGATGAGCCCAACGGGGAGCGGGAGAGGCATTCTGGCATGCTTTCCCCTGACGATATCAACGCCCAGTGCTGCCCAAAAGTCAGTCATGATGCTGTACATTGCCCGAGAGGGCTACCAACATCCGACTTCGTACCTACCCTTGTCTGCTTGAATAAGCCGTATGCACAGGACTCTGCACGAACGCCTCCTCACCCTTTCACGCCACTTCACCAAAGAACGCCCGGCGTGTCGTGCACCTTTTTCGTTAATCCACCCCACAATTTCGTTGTGTCTGCCCGTCGAGATAGATGCCACGGTCAATGGAAAATACGCCACTTTCAGTTAACGAACGCCTGGAACAATTTTTGGAAGCCAGCACAACAATACTTTGGCGTTGATGCACACGTTTCTTTCGTTTCCCTCGAAGGCGGATGACACCCAAGCCAACCTCGCGTTTGTGGCGTTGAGGCAAGAGCCGTACATCGTTGAGGAGTTCGGCTACCTCGCCAAGCAGATACGAGACCTCCATGAGGTGAGAACGGTTCGAATTGTGTGGCTTGTGGGGATCAAGTTGGGATTCGCCTACTGCAGGGAGTGCGCTGAGTTGGGCGTGCGCCAATTCGGTTAAGTAGAAGCGCAGCGGAGCATGTGTCCGATGGTCGTCGTGGAGGGGATTCAACGGGAGCCAAGACATTGTGAGGCGATGTGTGACGTACTATACGAGACAAGTGTTCGTGGTGTCCATCGCCGAGATGTGGCCCCTCGCCGCAGCACATAACAGCAAGATGCTACCGAATATAGTCTACGCACCAAGGCAGAAGACATATCGATGCCACCGCCCGGGGTCGTGTACGTCGTCACTGTTATCGGAGCAAAACAACGTTTTTCTCGAAGCAGAACAGTGCTCTAGGCGCTTTGCAGTCATGTCATCAATGAGGAAACGATGTATATCTGTGCTTGAGGGGAAAAAAAACGTGGTCGAGCAAGGGGACAGGACGAGGAAGAATTTCCACACGAAACTAAAAGCGAACACCGAGCGCTCGCACTCAGAGCCGGCCGTGTCTCTTTCAGGGGTAACGTTGCCCCTTCCTTGGTGCATACAGCAGTATCCTTCGATCACATGACACCAAACTACGTCAACCCGAACGGGCACGAAGGGTTCTGTATCCCCGCAACGATCGTTCACCACCAATACCATGGACTCTGCTCCAAACTCGAGGGCTCGCTGCGTAACACCCGTATCCATCCGTCGGCGTTGGCAATTCGCAGGCTACGAATGGTGCCGTTCCCCGGCATATATCCCACGCGGAGCTTCGTGACCGGTTCCGGGAGCTAAGCGCCCGAAGCGCTCCGCTCTTGAGGCGGGTCCGGGTAAAGAAGAGTGGATATGCTCGTGTGTAGTCCGGGCATGAGTCTGAAGTGAAGCAATGGGTACCACCGGTCGTCAAGTTCACCCTGTTGTCGCGTCTACGCCCCTCTTGTAAGCAGAGTGTTTCCCGTAGAAACAGCGGGAACGTCTGTTCGTGTGGTGGGCACACGGACTTGGTATACGATGGCAGTCCAAGAAAACAGTTTCATTCATCTTTCTGTGTCTCATTCTCTCCCTCGTTCCCATTTTCTTGTTCGAGATTTTATGGTACGTTATGTCCAAGCTCTAGCCTACGCACCCTCTCGTACGCACTCCTTCGCTCCTACTCTCAGCCTTGCTGCTCCGCCCGTAACGCGCGCGTGTGCCGTGTTCTCTACCGCTGCCCTTACACCAATATCCGTTGTCCACCGATACCAGACGCGCTATCGACGGCTCCACGCCCGATGGGCGTCCACGCTTTTGCAGTCGTTGTCGACCAGAGGGCTTAAGGCCGGAGACGCCGACATTTCATTGACGTGTTCTCTTTGTGGGTACGACTGGAGGAACGCACAACCCAGGTAGGCGAAGTACGTACGCTCTGGTGGGTGGGAATAAGAATGTCCAGGCCTTGAACACGACCTTCCGAGTAGAAAAATTCACAGGGCTGTACTGCTCGGTGAAGTCACGACAAGCCGTTTTCAACCTCACTTGAACCCGACCTCTTGTTCAAGAACTCGCACAAGAGGAATGGGCAATAACCTACCCAGGACCCAAACTGCGTAGTACCCCCTGCCCAAAGCGCCCAGCACGAACAATAATGCCGTTCCCATCCACATATGCTTGGTTGGATGCATCATCCAGGGGGCATCATCGCAGGCCCGCGTTCCACGGAATGAAGCGCGGAAACACCCCCGGACGTGTGAGAGGACTGCCGCCGTGCAGCTACCAACAGAATCGGCGGACTCAAAACGGTGGAGGCGGACCTTTGTCGAAGAGGGACATCGCCCAGCGACAAGGATTGGTGGCGCCGTCTGGCGGGGGCGCGGTGGTTGTACCTGGCGTGTTGGAAGGTTGGAAGGTGAGCATAACATATTCGTTGTTGTTGTGGCTGTCTCGTCGATGACGACGTTATTGCTGCTGTTGTTGGTGATGACACCGAGCTTGGTGCTGTTGTTGTTCGTCAGGGGGGTGGTGTTGCTTGGATTGCACCCATCCGCGTTTGTTGTGTCCAAACCCCTTGCTCCGACATGCCGTGACTGAAAATCCTGCGTGGATAGAGCCCGCCCCGCTTCCGAAATGGTCGACGGGTACAAACGGCGAACACCCACGAACTGAACGACCTCCAAGTGCGGCGATTTTTCGAGCGCCGAAAACGCACCGTAGGTAGGAACATGTGTGGACATTGCGTGCGAATACACCGCACCACAACCCACCTTCCCCTATAGCCCTGCTTCCAGGACGCCATGTACCGCGGCTCGAGGGCCCACCGAGGTCGCGCACATGAATTTCACCCCTGACCTGCTTCACACCTGCTACCTCTCCCCCCTTCTGCGCGCTCGTCATGTCGTTCCCAACCGTCGTCCTGGCCTTCCACTCCCACCTCACTCGCACCTCCCTGTCTGTCTTCCTTGGGCGACACCGTGGCGCTTGCGCCCCGGCCCCAACGAACAAACGGAACCAAACTTGGTCGAAGGCCGAGGGCGGATCGCGCCTGCAAGTTGATAGCGGTGGCCAAGGAGAAACAGCGAACACGAGCCTTCTTTCGGAACAGGCGTTGTTGTTGCACTCGCTTTCGGCCCCGACCATGAGCGGTGTCGGCGCAGCAGGGCTTTTCGGTGGAGGAGGTGGAGCTGCTGGTGCCTCTGGTGGTAGCGGCGGTGAATACGGCGGGGGTGAGGAGTCCAGCACCGGTTCCCCTTCGTTGTTGTCGAAAGCGGGGGGAAGAGAAGCGGACGGGCAACACGGGGGCAACACGGTGGCTAGGGAAAACGAAAACACTATCCTCCCGCCCCTGCTTCTCTCCTCGTAGTCTCAGTCGGCGTGTGTGTGCGAGTTTTCCGCGTCCGAAGCGAGAGCAACATTTGGCCTCCCGGTCGGTCGGTGTAATGATTTTACTGCAGTGTTGTCTCTCTGTTGATGTTGTTGCGTCCTCCACATCGGTATCGTGTGTAGTGTACATTCAATAGCCCCCCCCCCCCCCCCCGGTGCTTCGCGCTTGGCGATGTGATAAGCTGGTCCGGTGAAAGAAAGGCATGCTCCGTCCCGGCTTGTAGGGCGGGTTGCGAGGTCAATGGTCTAGCCAAACGACTATACGGCCTGCGGCATGCACGGCTATGACCCCCCCCCTTCACAGCATTAGAACCTTTTGGGTTATATAACTTGAGGTTGTTGAGACTATAAAACAAGAGTCACCAGAGTAGTACTTGAAATGACATGCAGGCAACCGACGTGCGTGGTGTTGTACACAAACGACAACGCAGCACTCAATGATTCCACATCCATCCATCCGCACTTTGTAGAATACAGCAATATAATCTATGTTGTTGTTTGCTCTGGGCAAGAAATAAATGTTCTATCGTACCCTAGAATATAGTCGTAGCGGTGTACTAATGCTGACTGTAGGTTTCGTTCCCTTTGTCGTAAAAGGGCCGGTCTTAACGAAGGAATCGGTTCCCGATTTCACTTCCCGATTTGATTATAAGACCACAAGATCCAAAGAACTCTCTTGTTGATTGGCTAAAAGTTCTGGAACCCGTGGAATCTTTAGGACTTATAATCGGATCCACCCTCTCCAAATCGGGAATAAAAAAAAAGGTAAAATGATTTAATCGGATCCCGATTTGGGTGAAACGAAACCAACTTCGAACATTATTAGCGGTCCAGTCAACGGCAAGTGACGCACTGACGCAAAGAAAGTAGTGTCGTGGCAAGGCGCCACACCAAGCCGCGACACCAATCCAGCACGGAGTGCGCACAGGCACACCCACGGTGGGGCACCTTGTTGCGCAAGAGCAGTAGAGGAAGAATGTCCTATTCGCAAGGCGGGGGGCGTGACCAGGAGCATCACCAGCATCTGGTCCCGAGAAAAACGTGTGTGGGATGTATGTGTTGGTCTGTGGGGCAATCTCCTGTGGGTTGTCGAACTTCAAATGCACAGACAGACGAATTGGCGGCTTTCCGTCGGACGAGGGTCGATTCAAAGTGCCACATGCATAGACATCGTGTCAGTACCACACAGAGGCCATGTACGCGTTTGGTGTGTGCTTCTCGGGAGCGATAGCTCCTCATGTGGTGTGGCCACGTCATAGCAGTACGTCACAACAGCAATCTGGCAGTTGGCAAGCGGCGGACCTCTCGGGTTGTTCGTGGTGGACTGCAGAAATGAACCGACGATGCTCTTGCTCTCTTTCTCTGTCTGTCTCCTCCCTTCCGTACGCTCGCTTCCTTCTTCTTCCTCCTCTGTCTCTCTTCTACTCCTCCTCCTCCTCTTGTTTGTTTGTTGTCTTGCTCTTTCGTTCAGATGTTTCTTCTGTTGTGGGCAAGGTGCATCTTTCTTTTCTTTTCTTTCCGGTACACATGCCTACCTATCTATCAATTATCTCTTACCTACGGTGCCCCCTTTGATCTTTCTAACCGTTCTGCCAAAACACCAGGTTGTACAACACAACCTTCCACATTTCTGTCCGGATTTGGGTAGATCCGACTCTTGTCTTGTATTCTTATAATCAAATTCGAAATCGAGAACCGATTCCTTCGTTGAGACCGGCCCTAAATAAGCGTAGTCTAGACGATGTACGTATGCGGGTGGTGGGTGCGCAAAAAAACACGGAATTATTATTGAGTTGGAGAATTTGCTCAAACGCTTTGGACACGCCCACGACAGACACATTATTAGCTACCCGTATGATGATGTGTTCTGTAGTCTAGCCTAATCTACGGCACGTCGTCTAACATCATTGACAAGCAAGTTGACAAAAAAAGTGTTCGGGGGACGGACTAAAAACAAATCAGATTCATTCCCCCTGTATTTATTTTATAAGCACTGTTTATTTAATACGCACAGCAGCAGCAAGCAGCAGCAGTAGTTATAGTTATAGTTTGGCATCGCGTACACCCGAGGTTCAAAACGGACGCAATGCGAGGCACCGAAGTGCAGAGAGAGTGAGTGCATGTCACGCAGAACAAGGTAGGTACAGTGCAACCGTTCCCAACCAACCATCACATATACTGCTGTACCATATATGTTATTCGTTCCTCACCGCACTTCTGACATCATCAGCAGAGCAAACACCACGAGTGCGGAACAAAGGTTGTACGTTCTGCCGAATGCCGAGAAGACTCCCCCCCGATTTTTTTTTTTTCTGTAATTGGTTGGGTGTTGAGGGCTGAGACAAGTTGACTGGCTGAGAGGAGACGGCGTCGTCGTGTCACCTGTGCTACAAACAGTATTAGGGGAGGGCAAGTAGAGTGCTACGGTTATGTATGGTATTATTCTGGTCGATTCTATTGATGTGCGCCGGGTGGGTGTCGTTCAGACATCTGGACCGCTAAATTCCGGTGGTGTACTTCTGATGATGATGCTGTAAAGCACCAAGATCTTGTGCACAAGCGTACTTGTAGTTTCAGTTTTTTTTTTTTTGTTCACTTCAAATCAGCGCTCACAGCACTACTAGTGCCGTTTATTCCAACCCGTGGTCACATAGAAGAGCTTTTCTCTACCCTCCCCTCCTGCGGTACTTCGCCTTAAATTTTTAATGCGAGAAGAGTTCAGCAGCACTCTCTCCCCTCTGTGTACACACGAACTACAAGTAGCGCTATCCACTTGGCCAGGAGCGGAAGCGAGAGAAAAATTCACTTTGCAAGAAAAGCTCGCTTACGCCGGGATTCGAACCCCTGACCTGACCTCTAGAAGGTTACGAGGCTACCAACTAGACCACCGGGGCGACCGGCATGTTGGTTGACATGAGATGATTGGTTGACATGCACATGCCATGGGATTGGTTCTCTCGTTCTCTCTTCCTCTCTCATTTTCTTTTTTATTCTATCAAAGTTGTTCGGTATCATTTCAGGGTACAGCAGTATAGGGTATAGCGGTATAGCGACTTAGGGACCACCCTCGCGCTTTTATTTATTTTCTTTTATTGGAATCTCCCGCTTTCGGGTGGGGGAAAAGCGGCAGCTTCTTGAAAAAGTCACCCCCCCACACACACGTGACGCGACGCTCTGCATCAAGCATCCCTACAACCACCCCAGACGCCCAAGGACGAGTGGTTGCAGAGGGGCTTGCTCGTCGTCGCAAGGCCATCACCCGACTGTCCCTAGTGCAGCGCACCGCTGTAGACCAAAAGGCGCAACAACAGCAGCAGCCAGGCGGGGGCAACGGACAGAGAGCAGTTGTTCGATTTCCGAGAAGGAACAGGAACAGCAGCAGGCGATGAAGTCCACACAGCAGCAGCAGCAGCAGCAGCCACGCGCAGCGCGCTCCCTCGCGCTGCTGGGTTCCGTGCTCCTCGGCAGCATGCGCGCGGCGACAGCCTACCAGATCGTGGTCTCGACGCCGGCGAACTCGAAGGAGGCGGGCGAGACCTTCGGGCTGTCGTTCGCCTACACGGACTCCGGGGGCACGACGGGAGACCTGACGAGCTTCGACATCGAGCTGCGCAGCCACGACAGCGCGGACGCGACGACGGGCTGCGGGGACGAGGCCCTCGCCTCCCTCTGCACCCGCGAGGCCGCGGGCGTCTGCAGCGACTCGGACGGCTCCTACGACGTGCAGATCCCCGAAGACGCCGAGGCCGGCAAGTACTCGATCAAGATCATGCTCGCGGACGACGATTCCGTGTACGCCTGCACAGACGCGTTCAACGTCACCAGGCCCACGGGCGAGGATGGGCTGGCGATCCTGGCCGGCGAGGCCAGCGTGAGCGAGGTCGAGGTGGAAGCCGCCTCGTCCACCTACCTGGAGCAGGGCGCGGCCTTCACCTCCCGCTGGGTGTACGACGACGGCGGCGGCGCGGGCGGGGGAACTTTCGAGATTAACCTCAACGCCTGCGGGGATGAGGGTGCCTGCGAAAACGGAGGGTGAGAGAGGTTCTTGTCGTTGTTGTTGTTGTTGAGAGAGATGTGTGTTGGTGGGAGCGCAGCACGCGCCGTTGCTGCTCGCCTCTCCCTTCCTAGTTCGGTTGGGTTCGTGTTGCGCCGTCCGCGTTAGCAGCGGCAGCTGCTGCTGTAGACCGCTGGATAAATTGGCAAGAGATTTTCGACAAAAATAAAGAAAAAATATCGGAGGGTCTGTTATTGCAGTTGATTTTGACACGTTGACACGTTTGCCGAGAAAAAGAACTACCGCCTTCGTTTCATGACCCCATTATTTCGGGGTCCGAGCCCGAGTTGGTGGGCATGCGTTGTGAGGAGATTCGGTCCTCCCGTCCGACGACGCGCAGGCTAGACGCTACGGCGGCAGGGACGGCTTGCCCTTCTCTCTCCTCCCTGTCTGTTCTCAAAAGTATTCCGTTCGTACCCCCGTTGGCAGACCAAATTACTACTATTTTTTGAAGACGACAACGATCCGTTGTGGGTGGTGGCCTGCTGCTGGCCTTCCTGCCTTCCTGCCGAAGCATCGTCCACAAACATTATTTATCCCACAACAATTTGTAAATGGGAGCGCACTTACAAGCCTTTTTTTTTGCTGTTTCTCTGTGGGTTGTGTACTCACCGCTCTGAGCTGCTCTCTAGGTTCGGTGACTGCGCCGTTAGCAGCAAGGTTGTGTTGCGTTGATTTACGTTGACGTTGTTTTTGCGTCCTCCCGCTCTGGTGCTTGGGTGCACCGGTCCTGGGAGCGTTGCTTCTCGGTATTTTGCTGAATTGCCTCTTTTTAGAGGTTGTTCTCTCGACTTCTGGTTCCAAACAAAAAGATGTGGCCACCCAAAACCTCATGGTCGTTGCTGAACCTGTGACGCACCCACTGGAAAGGTGAAGGTGTATGTATCACACGTCGAGAGATCTTGAGAGACGCGTTCCTTTTGCCCATCGTGTGTACTCCTGTGCAACATTGATCCATCGCAGCCTAAAATTAGACTTCGCCGAAAGCACCTAAAATAACACTTGTAGCGTATCACCCCCAGATGAATAAAAAGCACGTCAAAGCCAAAAACTTGTCATCACACACACCACCCAACAACATACCGCGCCGTCCCGGCGTTGTAGGGATGCGAGGTAAAAGGTAAAAGGGTGCAGCGTCCCGATATTATCGTCTCCTAAAAACCGAAAATTGCTTAAGGGCCTGGGGGGATCGCACTACCTCCTCTGAAAAATCCAGGAAACGCCTGCAAATCTCGGTTTTCATAAGTCTAACTCCAGTACGAAACTACCATCGTAAATTAACCGCCCGCAGCGGTCGCTTGTGTACAATGTTAGTAGCTGAGGTTGTACCCCTTGCGATACACTACAGTCTAGCGGTCCGCGATTTTCCAAACGATCCTTCTATCATCGAGTTCGGTGAGCTACAAGCTAGATTTTTGAAGCTGCTGTGCGGTCCAATTTTGAAACGCTTCCAAGTGTGTGCTAGGGGACAGACTTCTGTCCGTGAGCTTACTCGCCTTGAGTTCGATTCCCCCAACTTTGGCGATTTTTGCACAAGGCCAAAGAGCGTCGACCGCAAGCCGCCTCCATATATATGTACTCCCCAAACCCCAAAACAATTAATTAAATCAAGCACCCCCATATAGACTTCTCCTTTGTGTAGGATACGAGGTCGTCAACTATCTAGGTACAACAATGACTTTGAGTTCTACGTCCATGCCACCACAGGTGCGGGACCTTCTCGACGGCCCTCTGCGGCGACGCCGGCTGCTACGACCCCGGCACTGGCGACTACGACGTGACCGTCCCGGCCGACCAGGCCGTCGGCGAGTACAAGCTCGAGGTCGTCAGCGCCGACGACACGGACGTCTCGAGCTGCACGGCCTCGAGCTTCCTCGTGGTGGAGGCCGGGGGCGCGCCCGCGGTAAGCCCGACAGAGACCCCCGTCGATGAGACGCCGGCCCCGTCGCCGCCGCCGCTCCCGACCTTCGCGCCGGTGGCGCCTACGCCGGCTCCGGTGACAGGTGCGCCGACCTCTTCCCCCTCCGCCGCCCCCTCCGTTGTTGCCGCCTCGGCGGCCCCCTCCCCCGCCCCCGTGGTTTTTACCACGCCCTCGCCGGTAGCAGCAGCGACGGTAGCAGAACCGGCCACCCCCCCCACGGCCTCGCCCTCAGTGGCTCCTTCGAGCGTAGCAGTAGCGACGATGATGACGACCGCCCCCGTTGTTGTTGCCACCGCCGCCCCGCCCGCCCCCACGGGCGCCCCCGTGGCTCCGGTAGCAACCGGTGCGCCCCTTCTCCCCACCCCCACCCCCGTAGAAGCACCTGCAGCCGCCGTTACCACCGATGCTCCGATTGTCCCCGTTGTTGTTGCCACCGCCGCCCCGCCCGCCCCCACGGGCGCCCCCCTGGCTCCGGTAGCAACCGGTGCGCCCCTTCTCCCCACACCCACCCCCGTAGTAACACCTGCAGCCGCCGTTACCACCGATGCTCCGATTGCTGACGCCGCGCCCGCTGCAGCTGCGCCGGTGGCGGCGCCTGTGGCTTCGAGCTCTAGCAGCGAGCCGGTGGCGGCGCCGGTGGCGGCGCCGGTGGCTTCGAGCTCTAGCAGCGAGCCCGGGAGTCCGGGATTCCCGCCCACGCCGGTAAGATCTGTGGTTGCATTGTGTGCTGAGTATGAGAAGTATCCGTCAACTGCTGTTTTCGAAAGTATACGTCAGTAAAGAGACTCTGAAATTCGGTACTTCGCCTGCTGTTTTTCAGTTGCCGCCGTGGAGTACCAGTTTTTGTATGCTATTGAGGTGAGGGTCCTCCTAGACTGACCTGTGTTTTCATGTTTATCTCTTTCAAGTTTTCTTGATTTCTCGTGAACATGAGAACGTTTCATAGTTCTTTTTTTTTTGTTATTAGTTTTTAACAATAGAGAACTTTTGCTTGTAGCTGTGGGGGAGCCGTGGGTGCGGACGGGAACTGACTGCTGATTTTTCTACCATCCATCTATTGCGACGCAGGTGCCCGACAAGGTGGTTTGCGACGACTCGGCCGAGCTGAGCTTCGTCTACACCCTCGAGGACACGAAGAGGCCCCTTGTTACGGTGGCTCACGCCAGCGGAGACCGATCCGAGGCCGGGTGTCTCACCCTCACCAAGCTCTACGACTGGCTGGCCACGGAGCCCGCGGATGTCCCCACGGTGCGTGTGTGTGTGATGTCTTTTTTATTATTAGCATCGACCGCGCTAACCGGCTGAGCAACGAAACGACGTCATTCTCAGCGCGGTTGAAGACACAAAAACACTTGTAAATGCCGTTAACTGGGACCCCGTGAGGGGGGGGGGCTGAGCTATTCTCCGGATCAAACACAGAAACGGTAGCGACAGAACAGAACTGCACGTGTCGAGGAAGGCCGCTACGTTGCACTCTTGTTCGTTTTGGAATGCTTTCCGTGTGTGTGTGTGCCTTACAGCAGCGGTACATAGTATTTGGTGGTGCTGTGCAGATATCTCTTTTTGCAGTTTTATTCTTTTTTAAGAAATCGTATGTGTGTTGTGTGTGCTGGTGGTGAAAATATGCAGATCTTTTACCCTTTTTTTTTGTAGCATTTTTTTGTGCTGTGGGCATGTATGTACATAAGATGCTTGTTTTTCGGTTCCACCCCAATCCCTAGCCGCCTCACCCAACCCCCCGCCCGCCCGCCCGCCCCCCTTTTTTTCTCTCATCTATGGTACACAATACCTGCCGCCGTTCACTTGTTTTTGTAGGGCATGCTTCTGACGGTGGACTCGACGACGGAAACCGCGGTCAACGGTACTACGGCGACGCCCACGGGTATCTGGCTGCTGGACACGTCGGTGGTGATCACGAACGGCGTCACCTTCGAGATCAAGGGCACCAGCATCGGCGGCGACTGCGACGAGGTAGGTTTGATATGGGATGGGATGGGTGTCTTTGTGTGGCCCTTTTGCCTGGAGGATGTGGGATATGACAGCGGCTTCACCACCTGCCGCTAGGTTGGTGAAGCCGCCCTCTCCAAAAACTAACTCCACATCCTTCAGATGCCAATTTGAAGGTGTTGATGTTTTTATCCCGTGTGGTATAATATACGCATGTAGTATTCATTGTATTTTTTCTTTTCTCAAGAGTAACGGCGTGTTCCCGAACGCAGCCAATGAACGACTCTGTTCGATTAGTGGAAACTCGCGGCCCTTTTGCCTGGAGGATGTCTGTATTTACATGCTTTCTAATGTCTGCCGTACACCCTTGAGGAAAGTGTCTATCTTGGAATGTCTGCATTGCATCCTTAGGAGTGTCGTGTCTCACACCGGATTTTAGAGTTTTGATCGTACGTCCGCAAGGGTGAGCGTTCGGTCGGGAGGCAGTTTGTGCGTAGCCAAGACTTGCCTGCTTCCCATCAGCGTATCGGGCGCTTCGTCTCTTGTGTCAGGCATGCACGCAAACGATTTTAGTATTTCATGTTCACCCCGATACTAGTATCTATAGCTGTGGTCAGGTTTTGCTTGTACAAATAGGACGAAAACACACACACACACACACACACACACACGCATTGCCGGCGTGTTTCAGTAGCGCGCCTCACCAGCGCATCGCCGATGCCATACTCTCGTCTTGGCGCTCATGCCCCCCCCCCCCCCCCCCCCTGGTTTTTGCGACACTTTTGTGCCCCAAACAGCTCAAGTTTAGTAACACGAAAAAAGGGTGGAAACCAATTATGGGTCACGGGGGCAACATCGAAATCGACTCGACGGGGGG